CCTCCTGTTGTGCCGCCCTTGTCCCCCCCCCCCCCCAGCCACTGCTGGTGGTCAGTTCTACTTTCTCCATTGGTGCCATCAAAAAAAGGGCATAAAGGCTGATAAAAGTCAGCCCCTTCTGCTGGGAAATTGGAACTTTCCCTGGTAAGGCAGAGGTGAAGTCATTGCCATCAGCCACACATCCACCAAGCAGGGCTGTGGAGAAGCTGGTGTGGGAAATGTGCTGTAATGATAAATAACAGGAGTCATCGTACAGTTCTCAGCTGACTAATATTGACACAACAAAATAAAACAGCTTCTCAGGCTACTTCCCCCACCCTTGAACCCGCAGCACATTCTTTCCCCCAGTAAAGATGTCGTGTTCATGTGATGATAGCAGGATTTGCTTCTGGTTTGCACCTATGCTGCTGCAGTCACACTCAGCTACTCCCCTACAAGCTGTCAGGGCCAGGGGGGAGTGGAAGGGGCCCCCAATGCACGCTTCATCACCGAAGCAAGTCACGCTGTGCCAGCCACTCCATCCCATCAGCTGAGGAGCGAGTGAACAGGAGAGCAGGGATAAATCCATCTTTCTTGCCCTTCCCTCCCCCCTTTCCTGGGCAGAGGAGAGAAGCAGAAAGCGTATCCTATTTCATGCCTCTGGCATGGGGAAGTAAGAACATTATTTTGTAATAATCTTATTATTAAAGATTGGATGATGGCAGCTGATGATGAGGCGCCGCTCGGAGGAGCCCCATCAGTGGGCTCATTGTCAGTGCTGGCAGCTCTGCCCAGGCAGCCCGTCCTCAGGCAGCCCCACACCACAGGGGTTCCTCACAGGGGTCTCCAGGGGGACAGGGTAGGGTCACAGCAGAGCCACAGGCTCAACATTTGTCTAATAGCAACCCCAGCCTAGACTGGGAAACACAAAGGGCATGGTTGTGGAGTTTTTTTGAAACGCTAGAGCTGCTTTGTGCGAAAGAAAGCAAATCTCCTCTCCCCCTTTTTCCATTTAAAGAGTAAATCCTTTGTGGCTTTGATTATTTTTCTTCCATTTGCCTGGTTTTAAAAATCAAATCCCCTGTTCACAGGTAGCTTTATCCTAAATGGTGATTTTTTTTACATCAATGAAGATACCAAACAAAACAGCCCCCTCCCCGATGCACCCATTATTGGCATCAGGCTTAAAGTTTTAAGCTTTTAAAAGCCATTTTGAGGGCTTTATAAAGGCCCTTCAGCTTTTTTTGAGCTTTATAAAGGCCATCTGGGAGGGAGCTCACCCTGCAATACAAAGACAGTAGGTTGCTAACAGGCAGACCTGCCCTCCCAACAGATGAGAGCTGTGCTTGGAGATTTTGCTACCGATGAAGCAAGTGTAGGAGATAGATCCACTCCTGTGGTCTCACCAACAGCACAGACCACCTCGCATCCTCCTCAGTGTTCAGCACCCTGACCTCAGAGGCTGCACAAAGCCCTTGTGAATGACCATAAAATCACAGAATCTGTAGTTTGGAAAAGATTTCCAAGATCAAGTCCAACTGTTAACATGCAGTGCCGGATCCACCACCAAATCATGTCCCTAAGCAATACATCTGCAAATCTTTTGAATACCTCCAGGGATGGTGACTCCACCACTTCCCTGGGCAGCCTGTTCCAGGGCTTGACAATTCGTTTGACAGCTCGTTTGGTGAAGAAATTTTTCCTAATATCCAATTTAAACCTTCCCTGGTGCAACTTGAGCCCATTTGCTCTTGACCTATTGCTTGTTACTTGGGAGAAGAGACCAACTCCCACCTCGCTACAGCCTCCTTTCAGGTAGTTGCACAAGGTCTGTCCTGAGCCTCCTTTTCTCCAGCCCAAACAACTCCAGTTCTTGCGGCTGCTACTCATAAGACTTGGGTTCTCTGGACCCTTCACCAGCTTTGTTGCCCTTCTCTGGACACGCTCCAAAACCTCAGGGGGTTCCAAACATGGAACTCTTCCAGATGGACTGTCATCTCTTTCAGCAGCCTGGCTTTGGGACCAGTATCTCAGCCATAACCTCTCCATGCTTAGATTCACCTTGCAGAAGGTTTTGTGTGGCTATGTGTGATGCTAATTTTTGAGCTCTTTCATGGCAAAGCTCCCTCCTATTGTAGCAGCTAAACAGAGTAACATCTTAGGTACCCTGAAATGAGAGTAGAGGTGTAGTTAACCCAGCCTCCAGTGTTTTACAGAAAAAAAAGAAGTTTTCCTCTTATAGTAGCTGATATGCCCAGTGATGATGTACCTCCTCTGCTGTGCTCTCAAGGGTTGTGTGCTTTGCCCTGAGTTAAATATCATGTTATGACTCAGTTGTCACCACCCTGGTCACTGCTGGGATGGAACAGGATTGCAGCAGCAATCAGCTTTCATTTGGAATTAAAAATACAAACATGTTGCATATGTAAACAGAAAATGTGTATATATATATATATATATACAGAGCGAGTGTGTACATGTGTGATAAAGGTAATAAGTTTCTGAGAGTCCCACCTGGTGGTAACGTGTCAAGGGTAATACCTTGGTCATCAGAGAACCTTAACTGTGAAGTTCTCTGCGGCATAAAATAGACACTGTGGAAGCGTCTCCAAGAGAAGGCATGGGGAAGTACCTGATTTTAGAGTAAATGGAGTCCTGCCTTGAGAACTGCACAGCAAGGGAAGCCCACAGAAAGGAAGACTCCATCTCTGCTGGTGCTGCAGTCGTGCCTGGCGTGCCACGGCACCCGTGGAGAGAGGCGTTGGTGCAATGCCTTGAAACTAAGCGAGGGGAAGGGTTTGGAGAATCTTATCGCTCTTTGGGCAGTCACGGCACTGAAATATGAATGTATTACAAAGAAGGAATGAAACAAATCCAAATCTGTGTCTGGAGGTGATTTTATAGGGCTCCAATTGTGTCTGAACTTATCAAGCAAAACCTTCATTTCCAACCCCATCCAAAAATCACTGAAGCCAAGCACAGCCTGTTCGCTGCTTCAAGACACTTTGGAGCAGACCCTTCCTGAACCACTGAGGGAACACATTCTGGAAAGAAAAAGAAATGGATTATGTTAATTGTGCAAGAGATTTTTCAGCATCCCTCAGAAACGCAAGCTGACAAAGGGTATTCAGGTAACAGTTAAAATTCAAGAGATATTTCACAGAATCACAGAACGTCAGGGATTGGAAGGGACCTCGAAAGATCACCTACAGTAGGTCACACATACAAGAGCAGAGCAGTTTTGTCTTTTCATTTCCCCTCAAACATTTTGTGCTGCAGAGAATGCTTTTGTTCTCGTTATTTTTGCAAAGTTAACAGCTGGGTCCACTTTCCGCAGGGTGAGAAATTGAGGAGGGACAGGTGAAGCAGGAAGAAAGTGTAGAGCTTTCCCCAGTAAGAAGTTGAGTTCTTATTTTCATGCAACAGAGGTTCTCAGATAAAAAACACAAGTTAAAGACAACTAGCACAAAAGGACTCAGACGCTAAAGTGAGGCAGAGATAAACAGTATCCTATAGGTTAATTTCAAGCAACTCTGAGCAGTGAGAGTGTTTTTACAGCATCTCTCTCACCTTGACTGTCTGATGAGGCCGAGAGCGATGCCCGGTGGGGTCACGCACCCAGCTCCACTGCCAGCTGAGGAGGACACCCCTCAGGCCACCCCTTGGGTGTCAGCCAAAGGACCGGGCCCCGCACACCCACGGTGGGAGGTGGCTGTCAGAGGCAGGCTGGCACAGCCTGAACCCAACCAGCCCTGGTGGCATGTTGACTTGAAAACAGGAAGATGAGGCAGGTAAATGTGTCCGTTCCAGCTGGGCTGCCCTCACCTGTGACTCAGCCTGCCCTTTCTCCTGGGGAAACTTCTGGTTGGCCGTGCCCTGCTGCATCATGGAAATGAAACAGCTAGAGGGGAACAGAGAATTTTTGGCGGTGGGAGGTGGACAGCAGGAAAGACAAGCAGGTGCACCCCACCAAAATGCTGAGGAAGGTTAAGCCTATGTGGGTTTTGCTCTCAAGCTTTTTCTTAAACAAAAGGAGACCAAGCAAACCTCACAGTTTTGCACAGTAGCACCCCAGCGTACGCAGTTTACTGCCACTTCTGTGGGAAGTGTGTTATGCCCTTCCCTGTGGACTTCAGTAGTTTAGAGAAAAAAAAAAATTAGATTTTTGTCCATCCTACTAGGATTTGTGCCCCAGACATCTTCCCCTTGCCTCCTATGGGATGGCTGCACATCCCAAACAGGCTCCAGGTAGCTTTGTTCTCACATGAGCACCCAAAGCTGTGTGTGACCACTGCTGAAGAGCACCTGCTCCCTGCTGAGCCCATCTCTCCCAGGTCCTTCCTGCCCGATTTAATGCCTGAAATTTTGTCTAACAAGGACATCGTGGTGGGTTAGTGATAGGAGCAAGCAGACACAACTACAGGGGGAACAGCAGCAACCTGTGGAGCTCCTCAGACCAAGACAACAACACAAGCACTTCAACAGTGTGGCTTTTCTAGTCATGACTGTAGGAAAAACATCTTGCCCTCCAGCCGGTCTCCTCTTGCCAGCAACCCTCCTGGTCTGCAGATAGAGCTGTGCTGGTGGCATGGAGCAGTTCTGGCTTTGCCTGTGTCATGGAGGAGGTGGTGTAACTGGAAGAGAAATAAGTACTCTTTCAACATCAGGTTGTACATGGGAGGCAGTGACACAGGTATGCTCATGGGGTGAGAACAGCAGCAGCTTCCTCCTGTGCAGAGGCCCCAAGCTTGAACTGATGCCAATGCAAAAGTCAGCACAGATCCTTAAGGAAAGGCTGGTTTTACTGTTTAATACCTCTTGGTCGCCTACACAAAAGAACTGGTTTATTTCCATTGCTTGGTGGAAATACGCCCATAGCCCGTGTTAATCCAACGGTGTCAGTATCAGCATGACTAAGGACTGTTGGTTTTTTTTTAGGCTTCCACACAGTCCTTCTAAAAAAACCGATTACTGCTGGGCAGTTTTGGGGGAGGCCAAGACAGCAAACATGCAAAATCAAAGCCAAACACGGAAAACAAATTCTATGTCCTGATTCTCTCCTCCTTTCCAGCTCTATTAGACCATCTTCAGGAGACCAAGAGGAGACTCAGAAGACACAGATCCTGTGGGCAAGGGCTGGCTCCAGAGGCCTTTCCTCCCTCCAGCTGCAGCAGATACTGGGGAGAAAACTTCAGGCTTGACCTTCAGATTCTCTCCTCCTGCCTCAGCACCGGTATCCACCTCCTGCTGCAGCCGTTTTGGTCAGAGCCCTTTGCTTCCCTCACCTGCTTGTGGCAGGAAAGTTCAAGGTGTCCTGGCAGCAGGAAGCTCCTTTGCTCCACCCTCTGCCCTGCACACCAGCTCTCTGAGATTATCGAGGACTTGCTGAACCAGAGCTGCCAGCGACAGCGACCTGATCCGTGCGGCCACCTGGGTGGGAACTGGACCCCCAGCATGAAGCTTTTCTCTCACGAGCCCTGGGCAGCCTTTGCTGTGCTCTTCTTCACCACTGTGCTGCGGTATTCCTGCTCTGCAGGTACTTCCCCTTCTCCTGCTCCAATTTCTATACCCTACCTTTTCCCTCCATTCCCTTCAATACCTAAATGTAGTGCTAGCTGAGTGTAATTTGTTCTTTAGAAAGAAGGTGGGCTCCCTTGTCTCAACTAAAAAGTGTAAGGGGCTGGAACTGATTAATGCTAATGATAATTACTTGATATGCTTGATCACAGCATTTGTCTGAAGAGATGTGATTTTGCCAGCTATTTACAGATCCACTGTAAATGTGGCTGAGCTGCAGGTTGCTCCACTGAATGGCAAGGAGGTCAGGACCACAGTTACTTGGCCTTCCTGGGTTTGCTGAGGCAAGGGACCATTTGAAATAGCACCCAAGAAACTCGCTGTGGTCCAGTTTATCTCTTATTAGGTGCTTTCTGTAGGAAATCTGGCTTTGGTGCCCTCTTAATTGGAGAAGTTGTCTTAACAAAATTTAAACAACATCTGTAAGCTACTTCCCATCAGGCTACTACCTGTATTTGTATATCAGCACCAGCTGGGACCTGCCAGATGTTTAAAGTTGTTTTGACAGCCTGTCCTTTGGGCCGGAAAGTCTATAAGCAAGAACCAACGCTCTGTATTCTACAGCACTTTTTTCCTCAGGTCACACACAGTTTTTAATGATTCTTCCCAGTGCTACCATGAGGTATTTATTAACTTAGAAAACAAATTATGGGCTTGGCCAAGGTCATTCAGCAAGTCCTAGCAGAGTCAAAAAGAGAAACGGGGAGTATTCACACCCTTCCTTGGAGGAGGCTACCCAGGGACCCACTCCCAGTGTGGCAGTGGCCGTAAGGAAAGCTCTGGTTTTGCTGGTGGTCAGTCAGCTCAAAATGCAAAGCTGGGCAACATCTGGTTATCCAAAGGGGGACGTCTCCTGCAGGACAATCTAAGTTTATTTGGTGTTACCTGGAAAATGCCAAACTCAAAGCAAAGGTTAGGTCAAAGGTCTTGTTCTGTTTCATTTTCCTGAGATAGAACTAAGCCTGAGCCATTACTTTGAAGTCTTCAGTGAAACCAAACTGGATCTGATTTTCTCTATCACACTCCAAACTATCATCTCAGAGTGATGGTTTGACTAGAAATAGTTCTCTCATAGCCTCTACCTGGTCTGTGGACTAGCGGCACGTTGGAGCCTCTCCATCTGCATGCAGCAGGAGCCCTCACTCCTGTAGCCTCTCTAGGCTGTTTTTCATGTATCTCTCAGGGGACTACTTCAGCATGGGATACGTCACCTGGCTGAACTTGAACTGTACTGCTCATGGTAGCACAGGAGTAGATATTTCCTTGACTCCCTTCACTCCACAGTGGCAGACAGGCTGGTATTAAGCACAGGGACCACAGCAGTCTGTGCTTTTCCCACGCAGGTATCCTACAGCTGTCCTTGCATCTGGTCCTGCAGGTGTGTGCTGCAGCTGAGGGGCAAGGGTGGTATTAGGAGGTCTAAGGAGGCTCTGACCTGTGATACCATGTACAGATTTGGAGGCCTGGAGACCAGCCACAGCGTGGTGCCTGAATGTATGTGTGCATCTGTGCAAGCAGGATAAAGACACAAACTCCTCACTTAGGTCCCTGTCCCTCTCCCTTTGTTATTTCTGTATGTTTTATATTCCTACATGAGCTGGCCTAAACTGGAGCCCAGCCAGAACAGCTTCAGGCATGGCTTCACCTGAACTGCAGCAAAGCCGAAGTTGAGGCTGTGGTGGACCTGCTGAGGGTCTTCACAGATGGGCTAAGCCCTTGGCTCTGCCAGACTCCTTCAAACCCTGGAGTTACTGGGATTTTTCTAAGGGCAAAAGGAAGGAGATGTGCAGCTCATTGGCTGTGGATCTCCCCATGCCACTGAATGCTCTCTCTCATTTCAGTCCTTGCTCATTCTGCCTCTGTAGCTTGGAAAAGGACCGGGGTTCTTCTGAGCTCTGAAGGAATGGCTCCCACCAGGGTCACACTCAGAAAGAGACACAGCGATTCAGCTGCTCCTTATGAAGGTCTCTCTAGAGCCTGTGTTGACAGTGGTGGGATGAGAAACCATATCCTGATGCACAAATGTTTAGGAGCAGAAACTTATTTTCTCCAAGTTGTTTCTATCCTACAAACCTCTGTAAGGCCAATGGCTTTCAGGTTTTCATGCTTGATGCTCAGTATTGCTTTTATAATCCAACTTGCCTTTTCTCTTGTGCTTTCCTTCTGGCAGCAGCTGAAGCCATCTCCAATGTTTCAACCAGCTCCATGCCCACAGCTGAGCACGAAGCACCATGTCTTAGTAAGTCTTCTTAAATCATTATGACCATGATAAAACCAGGTGACGAGACTACATGGGTGACTGAGAGACTGTCCCAGAAAAGGATTTATCTGTTGTCAAGGCTTCTGTTGCAGGTGAAACTTCTGGTTATATTTCTAAGACTCCTCTATTGGCATGCCCAGTATAATATTTTGGACTCATAGCTTTGAACAGACTAATTCACAGCTAGTTCAGTTTGTGTGTCCTAAATCTCCCCGCCAGACCGCCTGACCATAGGCACAATGTGGATTCCCAAGAGCACCTCTTTTCCCCACCCTGCCAGGTCTTCTCTGAGCAGCCAGTCCCAGGCAACTTGAGATCCCACCGGTGGTCCCAGAGTCATCCTCCGTCCCAAATGTCAAACATCCCCACAGTTCTTTACTTCCCAAATTACTGTATGTGTACCAACAGAGGTGTGCTACTTCAAAGCATGACACAGGGGCAGGCATCCCTCTTCCTCCTCTAGTCTTGTGGGCAGAGCTGCTCCCTGCGGTACAGGACAGTTGTGCTGTGTGCACTGCAGGCCAATGCACAGAAACACAGTCCTGCCTGACAAACATGAATGAGAAGAACTGAGCAATGCCTGTGCTTGCCCTTTTCCTAGAAATGCGCAAAAGAGACTTGGCTGCCCTGCACTGAGCTCAAGAGGCATTTGCTTTTCACCGTTGACAAGCTTCATGCATGTCAACATGCAATACATGTAGCTACAAGGTGGTTTTGGCTGCCTCAGCTCTCCTGGGTGCCGGGGTTTCATGCTCAGCTTCTGTTCCAGCCCAAGCAGTTGAGATATCATGGTCTTCCACGGCTCCCTTTCATATTTCCACGTTACCACCCAGGATGCAGACACAGGGCTGGGTATCTTCACTGTGCCCTTGTAGTGGAAAAAGTATGGCAGATGCCTTTAAACAACAGCATAAATGAAACAACTAATGACATATTCTTTAGATTACTTTAGGAAATTGGAGTGATTAAAAAAAAAAGATGCAAAATATGGAATTGTTAAAAAATATTTCATTTTTAAATATGTAAAGCAGGAGTCCTCCAGTTGTGGTGTTTTGGAATTATGTGCAAGTCACAGTTAACAGCCCAGCAGAGAGAACCTTAAACAACAGCATAAATGAAACAACTAATGACATATTCTTTAGATTACTTTAGGAAATTGGAGTGATTAAAAAAAAAAGATGCAAAATATGGAATTGTTAAAAAATATTTCATTTTTAAATATGTAAAGCAGGAGTCCTCCAGTTGTGGTGTTTTGGAATTATGTGCAAGTCACAGTTAACAGCCCAGCAGAGAGAACCTGCTGCCAGCTAGTA